AAAGATGTGTTACTTTAAATAAATAAATTTAAAAGAAATCCCCAAGCCTTCAATATGGCGATGACTATGTGTTATTATGCAATGATATTGCATAACCCCGCAAAAAAAAAATTGGCTCATGTAACTGTCCCACTACAGGTGTCTGATTACAGCCAACTGTCTGATTACACCATCCGATAACAACTTTGCAGATTAATTATTAGTGCAAAACACAGCAGTTTATGCACCAACTACATGTATATTTAAGGAAATTGTAATTGTTATGATTAATTAATTAATAAATATCAATTATTTTGAATAGTCTTGTTACTCAAATAAAGTTCTTAAAGGCTTTTTAGTCCGAAAATGTGTCAATTAAATAAATAATTGCAGTGCTGGTAAAATCTCGCAGTGTTCAATCTAGAAATTAGTCAAAGTGGGTCATATGCCCCACATGACATTGTAAATTGGGTTATTTTGAAAATGGTCTGGGTCAAACTATGATATTGAAACTTTGAAAAACTGTCATCATCCAAACTATCACCGGAATTTTCTCACAGTATTACTTGTTGAGCTTGAGGCCATTGGCTCTTTAAGTTCTGGAAGTTTACTTAATATCGAACTGACTTCTCCAGCTTCAGCATCCTTATCCAGCCCATCTTCTTGATTTTCATGTCTCTTTTGCGTAAAAACTAAATTTAGCTTTTGTTGTCATTTCATAATGAAATGTAAACAAAAGAACAAAGTCAACAAACAAAGCGTGAATTGAGCGAGCGGCAAAAAAAGCAAAAAACAGAATGGCCTTTCTCAGCAAGTTTCAAGCCTTAGCTTTGAAAGACATGAAGGCGATGAAAAAAGAACAACAACAGATGAACCTGGCACGCAAACAGAAGAGTTGGAATATTCATTCAGGTCTCTAAACATTGACAGCAAACCATTTGCTCAGTGGGAATTTACACAAAACGAAGAAAAAGTTCCATCTTACGCTGGATTGCCTTCCTTCGACATTCTAAATGTTTTTGTGAGCATGTTTCTCTAAATCATTTTTTCTTTTTTCTTTTAAATTTTATTTTAGTTGGCGATGTAAAGCCTAATTTTTTTTAACCTTTTCATATTCTACTTGTTTGGCGTATGTGGTTCGGAGCCGCGAGCACTTCACTTGCGTTGTGCAGCAAGTCTGCTAAATTTATTTTTGTCCACATTTTTAAATAATATAGTACGCTTGCTGAATGAGAACAGGATTCTGCCAGACCAGCCTTGCAAGCTAAGCAGGGAGTGGTCAAAATTGCTCAAGTTCTTTTCATGATAAAACAGCATGACATTATAAAGTCATTCATACTCCATGAACGTCTCACCACTAGTCGCCAATTAAAATTGCAAACTTGTTTGCGACGTTTGATGTGGCCTTGCACGCTTGTGATAAAACCAGAGACCTGCCATTTAGTTACATGCTTCTAGACTTCGAAAAGCGAACCAAACTGTTGCCGAGTGTAGAAACCTTTCTCCAAAACAAATAGCACAAAATATCCGTAGATATAATAGAAGGCAAACAGACCGGCTTCTAAAAGTCCCTCCCTTCACCTAAAACTGGATCAATTCCAATTTTGTTGATATTTTCGGCAAATATTGATCTTGATTGGTGCGATGAGCACCTTCGTCACTTTTATGTCCCCCCCCCCCCCCCCCCACCCTCCCCCTTCAAGGTGGTCTAGGACTCTCAACCAATTTTTAAAGCAGAGCCGAAGAAGTTTTAAAGATATATATGCTTTATCTGGTGACATTTTGGGACACTGCGCCTACCAAACTCCAGTCAGTATTCCCTGCTAATTTAGCTTGATCTCATTAAAATATCAGCTGAAAAACAACTGGTGGCGCAACTGCTAGCCCGCGTAATTTTGTTGAGCTACTCGCAAAATACTAAAGAAACTCTAATTATATTGAACATTAAAATTTGTAAATTTGGACTCAACAATGAGCGGACTCAGGATGATTTTATTGAGCTCGAGCAATATTAAAATGCCAACCAGTTGAACATCCTGTGTTCTCCGTGGTTTGTCTTGATGGAAAATTTGAGGGCAACCTTGGCAGAACTGGAAAACAAATGTTATCGTTACTTCAACTGGCACAGCAGTAACACTTTAGGACAACTAATATCAGCTGCCAGTTTACATCGATCTTAACATATGAAAAACTAAAAGCAATTTGTGGCATGTAGGCTCCAGTTTCTCTCGCAATAGGCCCTTTGCAGCTAAGCCATCACTTGACCTACTTTTCATAAAATTATGGGCTGCAACTTTAGTAATGGCAGAAATGGAATTTAAAGCACATTGAAAATATCAAAATGGCCAAGTTTAAGGTCCCTGGCATTAAAGGAGATCAGTCACGGTTTGCGCACATTGGAAAGTTTAGCCTCAATTTTTCAAATTTGTCGTTTGTAATCCGTGTTAATCTTCTCCATCCTTAGCCATCCTTGTTCCTTTATGGGTTATCATTATCTCTTTAGTGTTTTTCTATCTTATTAAACTGTTATTTTCAGGTTTCCTACCATTTAAAGCCACTGTATTACCATTTGTATTTCACTACCATTTGTATTTCTTATTTTAGATTTTAATACTTTTTATTTTTATGGAGGACCTCCCTGAAAACCATGTATTATGTGACGGGTGCTTCCTCTTTAAAGATTGTTTTTATTATTATATTATTATTATAAAGGTAATTTTGTATATGGCCAAGATAACTCAAACTACCATGACTGAGCCCCCTTAAAGAACGAGATTTAATGACAGTTTGAATTTTTAAATCAAAGTGCTCTATGAGCAAAGCTGTTGATTTCCCAGTGGATGATGAGCCACTGGGAAATCTAAGCCATCACGTGACCTACTTTTCAGAAAAGTAGGGGCTGCAACTTTAGGAATGGCAGAAATGGAATTTTACAGCATATCAAAAATATCAAAATGGCCATGTTTGAGGTCCCTGGCATTAAAGAATGATGGTTTGAAATTTTAAATCGAAGTGCTCTGTGAGCAAACCTGTCGATTTCCCAGTGGATGATGATTGACATGTGTGGCTTACAGGTTATTCTAGTTATATGAGTTACCATATTGACTTCTGGCTATACTAGTTATAACAGCAGTCTGTTAAAAAAAAGAAGAAGAATGACTTTTAGTGCATACTGCATGAGGTACAAGAACTGGGAAACCTGCACTACATGAGCTGCATTGCTCCGATGGATTTACTCATTCTTGATGAGCCACTCTACCCTGTAAACCTTGTCCAACATAGTTTTCTTCTCATGTGAAGACGAAAGTAACCTCTTCGTGAGTGGGAATAGGTAGCAAATAAGAATGAAGGGACTCTGCTCACAGGGTAGCTGTGAAAGATCTTCAGAGAAATTGAGTTTTTTTGCTATGAATTAAAAATGTGAATCATTTAAACCATCAGATGCAATTTGAGGTCAATTATGCAAAGCAGCGAGGTCCCGTAATGTCAAAAACTGTGTTCTTATTGGTTCCAAGCTTGAAATAAGTAGCACATGTAGCTAGCTACCTGTGGATATTCTTCACCAGAAAAAGGGTTGAACAGGAAAAGAAAAAGACTGCCTGTAGTGGCTTAAAAAAACAAACAGAAAAAAAGCTGATGAATCCGGGAATTTAACTTGGGTGCGCTAGATTGGAATGCAGGTGCTAACCATAGTATTTAACACATAACAAAGCTTACTTTAAGGGGAAAAGATACAAAGTCTTTCAGCCTTATCTCAAATTGGCTAGCAAATATGCGATTTAGCTAACAAATATGCCAAATATAGTCTCTTAAACTACAGACTTCTTGGATGCCGACTTTTAGTATGGCCAGTACAATTGTAGCACAAATTGAGTTTTTGTTGATTCAAAATAATGACCTCAAAATCAGACTGTACACATCTGATTATGTTGCGATGATTAAATCTACTATTAATAGACCTATAAAGCTTTTCGTGAGAGCTGTTGTGCAACTTTGCGATATGATAGCTCATCAGCCTTTTCAAGTGTCAAAAGTGTATCAGCTTGAACAAGCCCAAAAATGTTTGTCTGTGGGCAAAATTTTAATGCTCGGATTGGATTTCAGCTTGCGAAGTTCTAGCTAGTTCTCCTTGCGTCCGCTATGTGGGATTTGTCTTGCAATGCAACATGTTTCTTCACTGTTATCTGTGTAATATGGAGAGTTTGTCTTCAAGAGCAGGATTTTCTCGCAGTGGATTAACTTATAATCTGGTGTAATTATGAGCTTTTTAGAGGCTAGCAAGACCGTGATGTTCTTTATTAGAGACATTTTCGACAAATGCTATGGTGGCCTTGACAGAACTGTTCGCTTTGATTTCTGAAATTTAATTTCAGGAGCTCAACCCTCCAGTAGTAGTAAAATCGATATGTAGAGCAGATTGCCTCTTGTCAATCTTTACTAAACTTTGAAGCAGAAATTTACAATAGCAGTTTCCAGCAACTTCACCTGTGTCATCAAAAACGTTCCCAATGTGTATTACAAAAGTTAACATTTGGTCTTATTTACACTTAACTATTAAATTTAAGATTAGAATTGTAATAGAAATGTTAAATGAACTATACCCAGAAAGCAAACCAAACAAGTTTCCATTTTTAGTGTAACAATCACAGTCACATAGACCTTGACCTAGAAATGTAAAACGATACATGTGTCTGCAATATTGACTAATACAGTGATTTCAGGAGCTTTATCTACTGGTCAACGGAATTACTCCAAAAGGTTTACAGATGATAGAAGGACATCATTTGCACAATCTGCACCACAACTTAAGCCCTATACATTGCCTACACAATCTCCGAGTTAAAAACTAATAAAGAACTTAAGATTTGTTTGGAAAAATTTGTTGGAGAGCAAGACCTTGTTCTCCAGCAACATTTTCCATAGATATCCTCTAAATTTTCCGAAAGTTCAAACTGACATATAAACTTACTCTTAAATGCCAGGGGCATTCTTTAAGTTATAGCCCATAATATATAATATTTTTAGGAAAATTTTGGTCACGTCACCCCGGCTGCAAAGGGCCTATTGCTTGGAATGCCTGACACAGAAAGTATTCGTATACACATAGTCTGAAATGCTAGTCATTTCATGCCCTCATTTCAGGCTAGTAAGCACACACATTTGTTTAATTTACTTTTATTATTGCCAGTTGCTTTGGAAGTACTGAATATATACGAGGTAACTTGTTTTTTTTGCATCAGTATGACCCCATGATCATTTCATTTTGTCTCAGAATAGATTATTCTCCATCAATGAGACAAAAACGCAGCCTAGATTGAATACTGATCATGCTCATCCAACTTGGAAATTACTTGTCCAACTACTCCCTTAATTGTAATTGGTACACTTACTATTAATAATTATCAATTATTATAATTATTATATGCATTCAACATTGGTTTCTGTAGCATGAAAAACAAGAGAAACTAATTGTGCTGGTATCCATTTATACTCCATTGTGGAGAGAGGCTCTATGGGGCTTACATTGTGACATTGTTTCAACATGCATACTTGCAATGATACAACTGTGACAAATGGATCTTTAATGTTTGTTATTATGTACATGCAGATGGCTTCTTCTACCCAGATGTGGTGAAGTACAAAAAGATGTGCCGGAAAGCTAAATACAAGGAATACAAGGTATGTTGACGTGTATCAAGTGGTCACAATAAGCAGACATCTCAGTCTATTAAGTGAACAAGGACACCAAAAAAGTGGCTGAAAAGAAAATTCGTAGGGTTAACCTATTCACTTTTAGTAAGATTCTACCATCTAATACGCCTAGTACTAGGACATCTGACAAAGCTTTAAGATTGACTGAGATATTGCTGGAGTAGTCTTGCCATTATTGAAAGAAGGACCTTTGTTTGCCATCAGTAAAATTGTTCACTTGATTCAGATGATGAAACTCCAAAATCAGAAACCATCATGATAAGTCAATTATTTCTTCACAATTGCTATAAAGGTATGCTAGGGTCAAAGAAATGCTGAAACAACTTGATTGAGAAACTTCAGAACTATGTAGGAGGAAAGCAAGACTAGCAATGCTATATAAAATGCACTACAATCTAGTTGAGATAGACCAACAGAAATATCTGGAGCCAGACTGTGCTGTCCACTCTAGCAGGCACATGCACAAATTCTCATATAAAGTCTCTAAATCAAATTATCACCTGTTCTCATTTTTCCTTAATACGAACAGGGATTGGAGTAGCCTACCCCTGCATGCTGTTGAGGTGCAATCTGTAAATTCCGTCTGAGCTAAGCTAGACATATAGCGAAATAGAAAACATGTACTGTGTTTCTATCGAGTTTTAGTATAAATCTACTAGCGTTCTATTATGAATACGAATGTTCTCTGATTGGCTACACTACTCACTATCTATTCTGTGATAGATAGTGAGTAGCGTAGCAGTGTGCCCTTGTCAACAAAATTACGGCCGCATCTTGATGTTTTCGAAGAAGAGAATTTAGATGAAGTTTTTAACTACTAGTAGATTTATACTAAAACAATTAGATTATTCGCTCTCGATTTCTATTGCATGATAGTTGATGAGGTTGCAGCCGTCGTCAACTATCACTCGAGCCCATAATCTAATTGTTTTATAGAAACATGAGTGAAAGTTTAGGATAACAAGAAATGCTGTGGGAACACGAGTTGTTAGGCGAGTGTCTCTACAGTTTTTGAGTTCTCCCAAACTTCCGTGAGTTTGTTTCTAATAAACAATTAGATTATTCATGAGTTTGAGATTTGTATCACATGATAATTGACAAGGGCACTGCCCGAGTCAACTATCACGCATAGAAATTGAGAGCAAATAATCTAATTGTTTTTGGTATAAATCTACAGGTCATTTAAAACTTTGTCTAAATCCTCTTCACAGACACTTTGAAAACACAAGACACGGCCGTCATTTTGTTAACATGGGCCCACTGCTACGCTTCTCTTTATCTATCACTGTGTAGATAGTGAGTAGCGTAGCCAATCAAAGAATGGCATTCATGGTAGAATGCTAGACAAGTAGATTTTTACTAAAAATTGATAGAAAGATGAAGAACATGTACCATGTAGAAAATATCCCAACAAAAGAAAGAAAAACAACTCGTTTACTTTGATCATCAGGTATAAATTCTCTTAACTCGTGCTATCATTATGTCAACAGCTTGTGCTAGTTCTGTGCTTCTATCGAGTTATAGAAACACGATTTTAAACCAATCAGCATGCGTATTTTCTGTGGGCTATTTTCTAATAATTACTATTATTACATTATTATTTCTAATAATCATTATTAATTAGCAGTATTTTGGCTGCTGACCACTTGCTAAGAATCATCATATTAAGGAGAGGAAGTATTTAGAAATATAATTGAAAATAATAGATAAGATGTTGCAGTTTTAAAAATAGACTTAATTGTAAACAAACTTGTCGGTCATCCATGTAATTCAGGTTTCACTGTACTGTGAAGGTATTATATATTTAACAAATTGAATGTGGTTTAGCGTGGTCTGTACTCTAATCAACAATGATAAACGTCGTCAAATTGGTCAAAATGTTGTGGACTCATGAGGCACAGCCAAGTGAGTTCACAACAAATTGTGACCACTCTGGTGATGCGTATCGTTGTGAATAAGAGCACAGACTATACTAAACCACATTTTGATTTGTCTTTTACCACAATATCAACATCAAAGAAAATATTTTTTTTCAGAGCGCAAGCTGAAAAAGGCATTGTGTGACACATTGACGTGAGCAGTGTTGTCTGGACTCTTATTGACAATGGCAAATTAGCCAATCCGATTTTGAGATTTAGTAGCAATTGTGCTAAAATTTTTATTTGTCAGATTGATAATAATGTATTTTAAATTTGTTCCTGCCCATATCTAGATTCAACAACAAAGATATCACAAGAAAGTATTGAGAGAAATACTTATCTCCCGGCAGGTAATAATGGTACCTAATTGCATCCCCGAGGATTGCTATCTTTTTAATTGCTGCGGAGCGAGCGTAGCGAGCGAGCAGCAACATAATCAGGATTTAAGAAGAATATATAGAAAGGGGTACGAATTCTCAAATTCATCACTTTTTACCAGAATGCATTGCAGTTAACCAGACTGCACTGCGCCACTTTTACTGGAGTGCATTGCGCCACGAACA